GCTTTAACAAAAACTATATAAATTACACTTTAAAATTTGTGTAGAACATAGAAAAATTCCACAAATTACTATCTAAATTTCAAGCTTTTTAACCAGAATTTTTAGAAAAGTTTTGGGTATGCAGTTAACATGTTTATAAAATTCTAGAAAAATAAGTGCAAGTGTTGAGCGGCTAAAAAATCGCATTCATTAAAAAAAAGGTTTTTTTTTGTTGACAACGTTTTGCACTTTTTCCACGTAAACATAAATTTATTGTGGAAGAGTATGCGCAAGACCGTTTGCGAAAACAATAAAGTCAACGCCAGTTTTACTAAATTTCGCTACTTATATGAAAAGACCCGCAAAAGCCGTCTGCAAAAATAAAATTATTAAAAATCAATGCGATTTTAAAGCCGCTGAAAAGTTGCACTCATTTTACTAGAATTTTATAAGCTTGTTAACTGCATACCCAAAAAAATTCTGGTTAAAAAGCTCGAAATTTGTTTAAGAATTTGTGGAATTCTTTTAAGTTCTGTTTAAAGTTTGAATGTGTGATTTATATAATTTTTGTTAAAGCATGAACCATATTTTTACAAAAATATATATAAAAAACCACAGCTTGAAAAACATTGTAAATATTAAAAACTAAACACCATTCATCCATTTTTGACCGCCGCTTTAGTTTCAAAAAATACGTTAAATTTATCAGATTTTAGGTCAAATGTTTGTAAAATTTTTGCGATAAAAAAAAATCAGAATTTTTCAAACCCTTGTAGCGACCGCTACAGGTTTGAAATTTTCATACGGGTAAAGTTAACTAAGAAATTAAAATAAATTTGAAGTTAATTAAGGTTAAGACTTAGGTTAAGGTTGACATTGGAATTACCATTAAGATAAAGAATAAAATTAGGATTAAGAGTAAAGTTAAGATTAAGACTAAGTTTTACTTCTTCAAGAACGCCCTAGTTCAGAATTTGAATGAAAAACACTATATTTCAGAATTCGGTTCAAGAACGCTGAAAATACATTGAAAATGTGAAAAATCGTTCTTATTAAATTAAAATCTTTACCTGATTTTATAAAATCATTTATTGATTATAAATATTCCTTATAAACAAAAACATTGATTTTGCCAGCTCGCATACACATTCCTAAAGATTTGCATTTCACTTTTGAAATATGTCGGCAAACCTGCCAAGTTTACAAATGCATTCGTACAAATGTAAATGTGTCTGTGTTGGTAACTGTGGTGTTAAAGTCAAATACAATGCATACAAATCACTGCCAAAGGAATTTTCAACACCAATGCATACAAATTTCATATCCTTGTTGGCTCGCTGGAAGTTTGTTTTTGTACACAAATGCGATTGCGAATGCGAATGAGACTGATACTCTTATGGGCACGAATACATACATACATACATAAATATGTTCATGCATATCTCACTATATACACATACATATAGTACGTACATATGTATTTGTAATTACAGAATCACCATGTAGGCCGAATTTGTGAATTAATTTGAATATGATTGCAAAGGGAGCTGTTTTTTCTTCACTTTTCTTTCTTTTTGCATTCATTTAATTTCACATGGCGAACTTTTTGTGCGATAACATGCAACATAATTTAAATTTGTGGACGGCATGACGCAAATGACTTTAACGAGCTTTTTTGGCCGCTGCACAATGTGGGACATGCGTTAGCGTTTTTATTTTTCTTTGCTGCTTATGCTGTTGCCAATCCCATTTGTGCCGCACCCAAACAAATTGCACTGCCAGTCACTCCGTTGGTACAAATTTAATTTAATCCTTTATGCACTCAAATTGCACTTTGCCGAGTGAACTGTAGCAGCGCAGCACGAGGGGGGAGTGGGGTTTAAATAAATGCCAACGATTTTTTGTGGCGCACAAATGAGTAGTTTTTTGCCGAGTTTGCAACTTTTCTACCCAACAGAGTGAATGTGTGTGTGTGTGGATAGCGTGGAAAATGTATGCAGGTCTTTGGGGTCTAATGGCTGTAAGCGTTAAATTTAAACCAACACACAAGAGTTTGTAAGCTCGAACATTCTCACATGCATCCATGATTTTCATTCTTGCAAGCCTTTTATGGCTACCTTTTTTGGTGCCATTGTTTTTAAGGGTCAGCAAATTTTGTGCTTATCTAGAAAAAAAATTGCTTGTCCTGCGAAAAGTTAAGGCAATTCATGCAAGATTTAGGAAGATTAGAAAATTGCATTTTACTTTTAGTAAAATTGGGTGTTTTGAATTGTTATAATTTTCAGTAATTCGAAAGTGTCCGTATTTAACCCTTATGTTGCCAAAATGTCATTTTGTAACCGTTCTATTCTAATAGAGCCAATAGTTGGCAACACACGCTGAGGGCAGTTAGTTTTCTATTTGCAAGTGTAGTTAAACCATTGGTTAAACTTAACCACAGAAAATTCATCAGAAACTTCTGTAGTTAAGTTTAACTAATGGTTTGACTATACTTTAAAATAGATAAGTTAACGGCCGCAAAGAAATAAAATTAAATTTTTTTTACTCTAGTTACTAATCTTTAAATACTTTCTAAAACTGCAAAAATCAGTCGAGGATCATTATAAGATCGCCGGTGTATGTAAAATTTCAAACCTAAGTGTGGCCAAAGAAACAAATTTGTCGATTGTCTTATGGCTCATAATGGCATATCTTGCATTTGCATATACATCTCCATCCATGTAAGGCTTATGCCACAAAACAATTGTAGGCATCTGATCATTGACAGTGCCATTATGCGATTCATTGCAACAGAGGATCATCAGGCGCATAATTTTCCGTAAATGGGATGTCTCTTGGCCACTGGGATCAACCTACTTGGCACCATTGGACTTTTTTATGAAGCTACTCAGATGGCCGTATTTATAGGAATATATCTCAAGCTTTGGAGCACTTTAAAATCAACATTTGTTCAGTTATGGCCAATACATATACATATAGTACATGCATACATATGTCAACAAGTGGTAGCAAATATCGCAAATAAAAAAAATCGATGCTTAAAGGCAGTCCTGAAATATTTAGTAACATAGACAAAGTGAAGTCCCTTACCGAATCTCGTAGCTTTTTGAACGAGAACATGCATATGTACTAGGGATGTTAATTTTTCAGCTTTTACCGATCCCGGGATTTTCGGGACGTCGTTATCACAATCCCGGGATTAGTCCCGTCGTGATTTTATGTGACATGCTGGACCATATCGAAAAAAATTACCAAATTGAAAAACAAATTACCAAATTATAAAATTTGATAAAGAAAGAAAAATATTACCAATTTTCATCAAAAATTACCAAAGCGGCAACGCTGGTTGCCAGCAAGCACCCGTAAAGTACACCATTCATTAGTCTTACTCTGGATTCTCAGCTGGGTGCGGCTCATTTCTATTGACTATTTTTTTGTTGTTTGATACCCGTATTGAAATGGTTCATTTATTTTATCAATTTAATTAAATACAAATTTTCAAACAGGTGGCAACCCTCCTCAAAAATATTTTTGGCAGTAAAAGTTCCTTAACCTCTTCAATTTCATACCCATATTGCTAATTTTTAATTTATATATTACCCAATTTATATATTTACCCAATTAAATTGAAATTTTCCAACAGGTAGCAACCTTCCACAAAAATATTTTAGGCTGCAAGCCTTCTTAAACCTTTTTCTTTTGACGGTCATATTGCAGTATTTAGTTTGTCTTATCAATTTGCTTAAACTTCAATTTTTAAACAGTTGGCAACTCTCTAATTTTTTATCCTTCTATATTTCAAGTTAGACCTCTGACAATGCATTGATGAAAACTGATCTCAATTCCACATACAGACAGACAAACAAAACTAAAACTGTTCTAAAAACTGTTGATTTTGGCTTATGGTGCTGTAATAAAGATCCCCCATATTAATTTTTTTTTTCATTTTATACCCAGTGGAAATCGATCACACGTTTGCTTTTTGTTAAGAGCTTACTCACATTTCTGCAGTATTTACATTTAGGTTTGATTTCTTAGTATTTTTTCAGACCCACGAGACGAAAATAAACTTTGAGACACAAAACTGTTTAACTGTTTATTGTTTAAAGAGTGTAATGTTCGGTTAAGGGATCAAGTGTAACAATACTTATTTATTCTGTTTACTAAACAATTTATAGAATTTCTGTATACTAAAGAATTAATCTAAAACTTTGCATCCTTAAATTGTTTATATTTATTTCCGTAGACTTTTTTGTATGCAGGTTTGCTTTATATTTACAGTTAGCTGTATTTACGCTTATTGCTTGATCAGCAACAAGGACGCATACATAAATGTGTTTCGCTCCCATGTCAAACACCATAGCATGTGTGCGGAAATTATGTATGATTATTAGGGCGGGTCAATTTGTATGGGAGATTTTTCGACTGGGCGAGTATAGCACAGACGGATTCTACGTGTAGTTTTAAGCAAATTTGCCGTAGAAACCATGGGTCTAAAATCAACTTGGAGTTTGCCAAATTGCGAAACTTGGTTTCTTAGCATTTTGATGTAGTGTCGTAAAGAAATGTTTAATTCTGCATAAAAAGCATGCTATAAGGAGTTTTTTTTTATTGTATAAGGAATCCTCTACTGGACTTATCTTTCTCTTAAAGCATCTACAAGAGGGCGGAAGCGATAGGTAGGCCAGGAAAAAAATAGACAACCAAACGTTTTCACATTCTATAGGCCTAATACTTTCGATTGAGTACAAAATTAAAAAAATAATAATAATTTTTTAATATTTAATTAAAAATATCCTGGCCAGGATTTTTTCAGCCAACCCACTCGCAAAATATTTATTAACACGTTAAATTTCATAGAAAAAATATTTCATCCATTAAACAGATGGGTGAAGGTCGTGCCTTTGTCGTATCTAAGACTATTAGCATTTGTTTCTTTATCTTAAGCTATTTCACCTTCACTTTTAACTTCAATAACAATTAATTCATATTTTGCCTCCACCTTTTCACTCTCTTTACAGGCCTGCAAACACAAACACACACCTACCATCATCATCAGAATCTTACCGGCAGAATGCCTGCGGCGGAGCAGGGGGGCACAGGGTGCCTAACATTGGATAGCGCTAATGCGTTAAGTCCACGTACCGGTGTCCCCCTGCACCTGCAAACTACGCCACATCAATACCAGCATCAGCTTCCGCTTCAGCATCAGCAACAGCAACAACAAAACCTACACACCATGCAACATACGACACAGAAGGGCTACGATGCCGAACAAGCGCGCATGGAAGCGTGGATGGATGAGAATCAAGAATTTATACAGGATTATTTTATAAGGTAAGCAACGGAAATATAAATACTTAAAATATAAAGCTCAAAACTTAATAAATCACAGCAAATAATGCATTAACTGCTCATACGTGGCTTAGAGCTGCTGCCGAAGGGTAAAATGGATGCATGCAGTTGCAGCTTCAATGGAAAGCTTCTATTACTGAGTGCTTTTATTTTGAACTTGCTCTACGAAATTCTGCTAATTGCCTTAATGTTGCAAAACTTCTTGCTGGCTTGGCAGGAAGCTATATACATACATGCTACATACCTACATAATATACATATATGAAGCATTGACATATATAAGTGCTAAACAACAGTGTTGTATTTGTATTTGTAGACCAAAACGGTTAATTTGTTCATAATTTGCATCAGGAGCTGCACAATATGTATGCTTGTTGCTATACACACTTTAACCCTTCGATTTGTGAGAAGGTCCCTAGGGACCTTTTCGTATTTCATGTGCCTATATCTTTTTTTTCAATGCATTTTTGAAAAGAATTTATACATGTATTCCAAGAATAAATTAAGCTGAATCGTT